CAGCAGATGGCCCCGCCCCTCCCTGAGCCTGGTTCTGCCGGAGGTTTCTTCCTGTTAAAAGGGAGTTTTTCCTTCCCACTGTTGCCAAAGTGCTTGCTCATAGAGGGTCATATGATTGTTGGGTTTTTCTCTGTATCTATTATTGTACGATCTACTGTACAATATTAAGCACCTTGAGGCGACTGTAGTTGTGATTTGGCGCTATATAAATAAAATTTAATTGAACTGAAAAATTGAATGTGGTCCACATGATTAACATGCCAAGTAAAAGTTAAACCTGACGATTCGTTTGTCTCGGTGGGATCTGTTTGTTCGTCTTGGTCTTTGAAATCTGTTACGGTTAAGACAGGAGGAGCTAGCTTAGCTCGCCGCATGCAGGAGTTGCGTGTAGCCTTCAGCTTTGTCTTTTTTAAAACTTAAGTCTCCCTCAAAAGTACAACACGGCTCCCGTATATTTGAGTTAGTGAATTCACAGAGACAGTTTGATGTGCTGCCACTGTAACTGACTGAAGTTAGTGAAATAACAACTCTGGTTGCTCTGCAATGTTGATGTGGAGATTTTGACTACACAGATAAGCCACTAGTATATGGTACAGTGCAGGAATGTTTGTTTTATTAAACTATGTGTGGGTAAAAAGAGTGTGCTTGTTTGTTACTCAGAGCTACAAATCTTTTTGTTTATTTTATTTAAGTTTATTCTGATTTTGGGAATGTGAGATAAAGAGATTTAAACGATTTGTAACTGATTTTGAACACATGAATGTGTATAATTAAAGATCTGACAGAAGCGAGAGAGGAAAACAAACTACCTGTCGTCCATCTCATCATTTACCTGATTTTTTCAGGACCAGATATAATCTGTTGGCTGCCCTCTCACTAGGGGCGTGTTACACACACGCACGCACATATGTGTGTCCCTTTTAAATGTATATATATTTATTTATACCAATACCTCTATATTTATCTTAATATTTACCTTTCAGTATCTCAATCTCTACACTTCATTTTATATGAGTGCTTGATGTTTGTTGCATATTTGCTGCTATGGCAACTCAATTTCCCTCTGGGATTAATAAATTCTGATTGTGGTTCTGATTCTATACGTGACTTTGTTACAGTGGTTTGACTTTAGAATGAAAACAATTTTTGATTAAATAAATCCAATAATAATATGTTTTTAATAACATATTTTTCATCTCTTTGACTAAAGAACCATAAAGCATACTACCTCTGTTCAACTGAATACTACTTTACAGTATTTCAGTATTTTCTGTGGAACTTCACAGTGTGAGACAAAGCAGTTCAATCTGAATATGTACATCAGGATATGCACTGCTGAAGTGGAACTGTGGATAAATTCACTTTCAACAGTTGTTTTATAAAGCAGACATTATCACTGAGCTGCTGTCACTAACAAACTGAATAGCTTTTATACAGTCACTTGCAAAGTGTATATTTTCTCCAGTTTCTTATTCGATCACAATTGGGAACTGAAAACTATAAAGTTTTAAATGTGAATAATATGACATCTACTCACTGTAGATAAATATAGATGAACAAACTGATCAGTGCGAAGGGGGCGGAGAGTCCTGATCCAATGTAAGTGATGTAGTTTAGCTTGTCGGCATCAGCTTTTGTCACCGATATTCCTGGATTCTGCAACATAAAAAGATGAAGTTGTTTTGAAATGTAATTTACATTCACATGTTTGACAGACATCTGTACAGGAGCATCTATACCTAAATTTCCCCATCCCCATGTTAAAAAGGCGAGATGTTTACATGTTGGAGCAATAAATGCTCGGGACTGTGTTGGCTGGTTCACCCTTCATCACAATTATATGATGAGTGAATTATTGTAGAAGTCATCCATGTGCTGGCAAAGCTTAAAATTAAGCGCGTGGGTCTTAGAGTGACAGGTGTGCTTGTTACCGTACTGGGTCTGTGACCAAGTGTTTTGTGTTTTTGTAGTTATTTTCTTTGATTTGATGTTTTACACAGTTTTGGTTCTCTTTATGGTTTTCTGCTTGTGTTATATTTATCGTTCCTAGTCTTTAGTTTTCTTCTACTGTGCCTTCTCTGTGTCCCATGGTTAGTTACTTTTGTCTCATGTTTCTGGTTCCCTAGTAAGTCATGTCTCCACGTCACAGTGCTTGTGTATGTCTCTTGTTTCCCGTTTTGCTTCGACAGTCTCGCCTCCATGCTCAGTGTTTCCAGTTTTGCTGCCTCCCTGTCTCGTTTTGTCAGATTGAGCTCTGTGTTTCCCTCTGTCTGTTGTTGTGTTCTTAGACAGTAAAAGTACAGCATACATTTGAAACAGCTCCTTAATTTAAATTGTTTATCAACAGTAGCAGTTGTTAAACATTTATTAGATAAACATGTTGTTTGCCAAAGGCTTTTATCATACGTAGGAAGAGATTTTCAGCTCACCACAAGCACAGCAAAGAACCTCTGACGTTTGCAGCTGCAAATAAATTCATGTGCCTTGTAATTTGTGGCACAGCCTTCATTGCTCCAGTAACCTATAAAGAAAACATTCTGAGTAGCTGAGTCATTTTATTTAGAAACAAACACACTGAAGGTTGACATTTCCAAATTACCTGTTCCATCCTTTGCTGATGTTTCCTTCCAAAATACACATGTTCCATTTTCAACCTGGAATCAAAATGAACGGTAAACAGGTTGTTACATTTTCTATTTCAGATGTTCGTCCAACACTTTTGTCTTTTTACCTCTTTGTTGTGTTTGAAGGTTAACGTGATGGGTTGTGAGAGATTCTCGACTGCACGGTTTCCTGCCAGCACACATATGACTGAGTCCCTAAATACTTCCAGACCCCCAAGAAGTCTCCTGTTTTTTGGGGGAGGAGTCAGCTGAAAGAAGGATGATACATAACATTCATGTTAGGGTGAGATTAATTGGAAAAAAAAATTAAACTTTATTCCTAGCAGAGGTCTTGTAGTTACATTTCCACTAGTGGTGCAACGGATCAAAAATCTCACGGTTCGGATGGGATCAAGGTTTTATTTCACGGATCGGATCAATTTTTGGATCAGCAAAAAAAATAAAAAAAAATAAAAAAATTTTAACATTTACTTATTAACTTATTTAAGTATTTTTTTGGTTATTAAAACATTCAACTCAAGACTCATTCCATGCAACTATATAAAAACTAATTAAGGTGCAATATAGGGCAGTACAGGGCTTTGTATCACTCCGCTGTGATATAATGAGCGGTCACGGTCACGTAGCTTTCCGTTGCCCTGGAGGTCCACCCATTTGTAGTTGGGCAACAGAAGATGCCTGGAACAGTTCAGCCATAACTTTAAACTTTTCCTGCTCATACATGCCTGGGTACAATCTTGTCACTGAAGTGGACGTGCAACAGGATATCATAGCGTGGCTCAAGCACGTTCATCATAGTTTAAACCCCTTATTTTGCACAATGGAATACGGCCTCCCGTCTGCAGCTAAACACCCCAGTAGCTTTTGTAATAGCTTCAGCCCAGTCGGATTGGGCAGCAAAGGGCTGCTTAAATGCCGCAAACTCCTCTGCTTGGACCGCTAGCGCTGGCCATAACTATCGCTTCACAGACTGACCACGCGCACCATACACATCCTTTTTTTCCTTCTTTTTCGAATCTTCGGATCACTAATTTCCACATCACTTTAAGATTCTTTTTGAAAATGTTGGCTAGTTGCAGCTGCAGTTTAAAGTGCCACAACTACAGTGTTATGAAATTTTTTTGCATTTTGGTATATTTGTAACTTGGGTGTACTGCTGGATAGCTCGTTCAAACTCAGTAAGCAAGTGTCTGCTGTAGTGAGATCTAGCTTTCACCAACTGCGCCTTATCTCTACAAGCCCGCCTCCTGACTGGTACCAGGAAATTCTGCTCTATTACACCTGTTCTAGCTGGCTTGCACGGGCTGCCCATAAAGTACCGTATTCAATTTAAATTATTACTTCTTACGTTCAAAACTATTAATAAATTAGCGCTGAGTTATCCTAGTGAACTTCTCAGGCTACATACTCCTGCTAGAACACTTAGAGCTGCTACTTAACTCCTTCTGACCCAACCCAGATCTCGGCTGAAGTCTCGGGGTGACCGTGCGTTTGTTTTGGCTGCCCCGGTACTGTGGAATAACCTCCCTCTCGCTATCCGCGCCTCTGATTCTATTGCACTGTTTAAATCATGACTAAAGACCTACTTATTCAATCTTGCCCTTCCTTCTAGTTAAAATTTCACTTATGATTTTACATCATGCACTTTTATGCTCATTTAATTCCTTGTTTGTTGTGTATCTGCTGCTTCTCCTATGTATCAGTGACAGTTATCTGCTTGCATACTTAGAAATAGGAAAAAGCAAGTACTATTTCTATTATCTTTCTTTTATTCTCTATGTTGCTTGTTAAGCACCTTGGCATACCCTTGGTTTTCAGTGTGCTTTATAAATAAAGTTTTTTATTATTATTATTGTTATTATTATTATTTTGCAATAACTGTCAACAATTTTTTTACATGGCTGTGGAGGAATTTGTCCCAGCTGTCACGATCGGACCTCCCCGGACGACCTGCTTGTGTGTGAGTGTGTGTGTGTCTCACACACACGGATTTTCGCTGAAGAGACTCACCTGCACCACCTTTGGGAATTGGGAGAAAATCACCTTTGGAGAATCGCATTTCTTTCTTGTTTAAGACTGTATTTGAGCACTGTAAATAAACACTCTGTCTGCTTTGCATCCAGAGCTCCGCGCTTGAGTCCCTACCTTCCATTAGCCGTGACACCAGTCTACTTTTCAGAATTGTTTTAATTCAGACAAACAAGGATTTTTGAAGATGAATGGTTTGTATATAGTTTTGTTTAAATATCTCAAGCAGGATATCTTAAGTCCAGACTTCGATTAGACCCCTGTGAAACATTCATGGTAGAGAGCTGAGCCATTAATGAAAATACAACCCAGAACACTTCTTCAGGTTCAATCTCAAAGAGATAGAGCTGTAAAGACAAATTTCATTGTTATGTTCAGGCCTGTGAAACAGGCTCTGTAAGATTTGTAGAATTATGTGTATGGACAAAACTAAATGCTCCAGAAGCTTTCGGATTCATGCTTGTGAAGCATGTTGTTGTGAGTTGGCTGTATGGCAGGCTTTTTATAGAACTGTAGTCAGAATGCATTACTGAAATAAAGGTTAACTTTGTTTGTAGACTGGTTGAGGAATTTGTAAGAAACTTTAATTTCAAATTAAATTAAAGCAAACACTTCTAATTGTGGCCCTCAGTGAAACGTAATTGGACATCTTATTAAAGGAGCAACTTTTAATCAGTTTTCATAATAAGCAACAGCTGAGTGTGAAGAGACTCTGCTGGAGGAATGCAAGACGCATCAGCATTAGAAAATGTTGAACCTCCTGTGGATAAATAATAATAATAAGGTTTGTTTTCTGTTGCCTTTAGCATTACCAACCTTAAAATAACTGCTGTTAATTACAGAGGCCACCACCAGGACATCCACCTCAGACACATTTCCTATGCTTTCTTGTAGAGCTGATGATGGGATGTGAACTCTATGTTCAAATGTAGGACTCACATCAACCTAAAAAGCATACACGAAAACATAACTTTAAAAAAATGTGTTGGTTGTCAGTAATTAGAGTTCATTAATACAAAAATACAGAAATTCAGATCAAATGTAACTTTTTCACTTCTAAAAAGCACTTCAGCTCCAAATGACCTCACCTCTTGAAGCGAGTCTACTTTGAGTTGTTTGATGCCTCTCATGAAGCGGCCTCTTGGCTTGCAGGTCATAATTTTGTCCTCATAACAACTACCAACAGAAATGTAATATAGTTCAGATATATAAACATGCAAACAGGGATATAACTGTGGATAAAAAAGACTAACTAATGCAAAGAGATGAGAAGTAAGATCAATTATTTCATAGTGGACCTTTCTCTGTTATTTGGTTACTTCATTTGTTTATGGCTATACATTTAAAGGAGAAAAAATGAAACTGCAAGAATTTGAGTTGAACAAAAATAAATTCTTTTGTACTGCTTTAATTTAAATTTCTGACAATAATTTAATAATAATGTTCATATTATTAAGTCTTTTGGCTTTTCAAAATGTGACACTGCTACCTTTGGCATCAACGATTATAAACTCCTGTTTTACATAAACATTTAGCCTTGAGCCCTCAGCGTAACATTTGAATGCACTGTCTAACCGGTTAGTTTTCAAAGTAAACAGGCTTATTTTAACCCAAACTAGTGACTAAACTACATTTTTTACCAACTAATCTTGATTCGTACATCTAACCATTACTAATACATAAGAACCTCACAGTTTGATAAACATAAATATATTTAAATGCCAAAAAAGCTATGTTAATTACATTTTGAAGACATTGGTACATAGAACATTTTTAAATACTATGATGTTGTCTTTCACAGGAAAACAACGTGAGACATTCAGACAAAGCTGCTGCCATGCTAGAGACCGCAGTGTTACTGCACTTGGTTCTTTGATGCATGAGCTGCAGAAATGATAAGACAAGGCACAAGTTGTGGTATTTTAACCCAGTCCACATTTCTTACTAAACCTAACTGAAAACTTTTAAGCTGCCTAAATCTATCCAAGCAGCTAACACAAGGCAAAAATAAAAATAAAAAACAATATAAAAAGTACAGTAAAAAAGACAAGTAGAGACAAAAGTCAACAGTGAGAGAAAGAGGACACAGAGGTTCGCAGTCTTATGATTTACGCCATCTCCAGCACTTCTGCCAACGTCTGAGCTCTTTAAATCAAGAAATATGAGCATCAGCTAAAATGTTAGAATTGTCATCCAAATAATGTTTCATAATGAATCACGTCTGTATTAAGTTTAACAAACACCAGCTTACACAATACACTTAATAATACAAAATATGTTTACTCCAAAGTGTTACACTGTGTTCCTCTAGTTCAGGGGTGGGCAACTCCAGGCCTCAAGGGCCGGTGTCCTGCAGGTTTTAGATCTCACCTTGGGTCAACACACCTGAATCACATGATTAGTTC